AAAAAAAAAAGAATGTAGTGAGGGTTTTACAGCATTTATATATCAGTGAAGCATATGACAACAATAGCACAACTGCCAAAATGGAAAAATAGAAAACTACTATTGTAACGTTCTTACAGTATATGTGAAGTGACATAACTATTACCCGAAGGTAGACAATGATAAGTTTTAGATGTGTGCTACAAACTCTAAAGTAACTTTGCAATAGTATAGTAAGGATTGTATCTATTAAGACAACAAAGGAGATAAAATAGAATCATAAATATTATCAATTAGTCAAAAAAAAAAAAAGGCAGAAAAGAAGAAAAGGTTGGCCAGTGGGGGAGAAAAGACAGGAAAATTAAAAAACAAATAACAAGTAACAAGGTGATTGATTTAAACCTCATTATATTAAAGATCACATTAAATAAAGGAATGTTATGAACAACTCTCTCTAAATAAATTTGTTTAGGTGAAATGGATAAATTCTTTGCAAAATACAAACTACCAAAGCTCGCTCAAGAAAAAAAAATAGAAAATCTCAATAGCCCAGTATCTATTAAAAATATTGATTTATAGTTAAAATCTACCAACAAGGAAAATCTCCAGACCCAGATCACTCTCCTGGTGAACTCTACTAAACATTTAAAGAAGAAATAATACCAATTCTACACACACACACACACACACACTAACTATAGAAAAGGAAATATTTCCCAACTCATTTATGAGTATAGGATTAACCTGATATCAAAACCCCCCAAAAAAACACTACAAACCAATTTTCTTGATTCATATAGATGTAAAAATTCCATACAAAATGTTAGTAACTAGAATCCAAATTATTTTTTTAAAGGATAATATACTATAACCAAGTAGGCTTTATGCTACAATCTTGGTTTAATATTCAAATACCAATCTATGTAATTTAACAGCTGATATAGTAAGAAAAAAATACTTATTTCAATACATGCAGAAAAAGCATTTGACAAAATGCAAGATGCATTAATAATAGTAGTTAACATCCTCAAACTGATGAAAAGCATTTAAAAAAAAATCCTACACTAGTGTCATACTTAATGGTGAAAGTCTGGTTACTTTCACCTTAAGATTGGGAATGAGGCAAGGACATGTATTATTACCACTTCTATTCAACACTGTACTGGAGGTTAGAACCAAAGTAATACAAAAGTAAAATTAAAAGCATATAGATAATGAAAAGAAAAAATAAAACTGTCTCTGCTTAGAGATGATAAGATTATTTATGAGGAAATGAAGAGAGAATCCACAGAACAACTACTAAAAGTAATTAAGTGAATTTAGCAAGGTCATGGAATACAAGTTTAATATATTAAAAACCAATTGGATCTTTGTACATTAGGACAAAAAAATTGAGAAATGAAATTTAAAAATCAATTCCACACACAGTAACAACAAAAACCACTGAAGTATTTATGATCAAATCAAACAGAAGATAGCCAGATGTATACATTAAAAAATAAAAAATATTGTTGAGCAAAAATAAAGATAACCTAAATAAATGGAATGCTATATCATGCTTTTGTGTCATAAGACTCAATACTGCTTAAAAGGCCATCTTTACTAAGTTGATCTACAGATTCAGTACAATCCAAATCAAAATTTCAGCAGTAGCAGTATTTTTGTGTGTGTAGAAAATGATAAGTTGTTTTAAAATTTTTATAAAAATGCAAGGGATCTAGAATAACCAAAGATATTTTAAGATGGAAGAACAAAGTGCAAGGACTTACCCTCCCTGATATTATGACTAACTATAAAACAACACTAATCAATCTATTGGGGTACTGCCAAAGAGATAAATGCACCGTTAATAGAGTAAAACAGAAGGTTCACAAACAGCTCCACAAATATATGTTCAAATGACGTGAAATAAATGTGTCGATGCAATTCATTGGGGACATAAAAGTTTTTTCAACAAATGGTATTGGATCAACTGGTTATGTAATGAGTTACCATTACAGACACAAGAAAAGCTAAAATTAGAAAGAATGACTATAACAAATGCTCACGAAGATGTGCAATAATTAGAACTTTCCTACACTACCAGTGAGAATTAAAACTGTACAACTACTGTCATGGACTGAATGTTTTCCTTCAAAATTCATATGGTAAAATCCTAACCCCCAATGTATTGGTATTAGGAGGTAGGGCTTTGGGGAGATGATTAGGTCATGAGAGCAGTACCCTCATGAGTGGAATTAGTGTCCTTCTCAACAGGGACCCAGGACAGCTCTCTCCTACTCTTTCCACCATGTGAGGATACAAGGAGAAATAAGCATTCTGCAACCCAGATGAGGGTAGTCACCAGAACCCAGCCATACTGGCATCTTGATCTTGGACTTCTAGCCTCCAGAACTGTGACACATAAATGTCTGTTTAGAAGTTCTATAGTACTTTGTTATAGCTGCCCCAACTGATTAAGCCAACTACTTTGGGAAGTCTTTTTAAGTTCCTTAATAGTTAAATAGTTGCCCAGCCATTCCACACCTCAGGATTTAGTGAAGAGACACAAAAGCAGAGGTCCACACAAACATGTGAATGTTTACACCAGATTTACTGGAATGGCCAAAAACTGGCAACAAATCAAGTGGTCATCCACAGGAGAAGGGGATAAATATATGGTAGTATATACGTGTGCAATGAAACACTATTCATCAACAAAAGTGAACTATTGATACAGAACATATTAATCCCAGATAATAACACTTAGTGAAAGGAACCAAACAAAGGAGCATACACTGTATGATTCCATGTTTCTAAAATTCTAGAAAGTGAAAACTAATTTATAGCCACATAAAGGAAATATGTGGTTGCCTGAACACAGGCATGAAACAAAGGACGGAGTACAAATGGACACCAGGAAAATTTTGAGGTTTATAGGTATATTCATTATCTTGTCATGATGGTGTCATATTACATATGTCAAACCATCAAATTACAGAATTTTAAAATGTGCAGTTCACTGAACATCAATTATATCTCAATAAAGTTGTAAAAAAAAAACAGTAAAAGGGTAAAAATAAAAATTTAAAGAATACTTTTCAGCCTAGATTTCTGTGTTGAGCCAAATACCCAGGCAAGTTTAAAGGTATAAAGATAGTTCATCTTAGAGAAGTTTTGCAATACAGTAATGATATTAACTCATTTTTTAGGCATAAAAATAGCATTTGCTATTTGCATAGCATTTGCTACTAATGTTACTGATAGATATCTAACTTCTGATGAAACTTTTATGAAATTTCAAAAATAATATGC